TACCTATAGGCAGCAGACTGAATAAACATAYATGTTTATTATTACAAAAAAACTAAATATCATACTGATTTAAGCTTTTTGAAATTTAAAAAAACGTGTAAGTCATGGATGTCGCTCTACTGTACATTAGGTTACAAGAAAGTTACTGTAATGGATGAAATTAAATTTGAATCCAATGATATTATATCATTGTATACGAAAAACGATTCTGAGCGAAGACGGTTTATCTGTCTAGGATATATTATAGATTATTAAAAATTTTCAAATCTTAATTTAAAAAGAAAAAGTCACTCAAATGAAAATTTTACCATGTCTAGGTAAGGCTAATATAAGTAAACAACCCAAATTTCAAGTTTTTATGAATGTTTTTAACCGAATTACAACAAAAAAAACTCCCAAAATTAAAATKTCAATAAATAGCTCAAAAAKCGCTAAAATTTTCCGAACATTAGATTGAAAAAAATAAAATCCAAAATACAACAAAACAGATCTGTTGTAATTTTTCATTTGAAGTAATATTTCTGGTAGAAAACGTCGTCCGTAATTATTTAATATTATAAAATCGTGAAATCGTACGTTTTGGTTTCTTTATCCTTAAACCACATTTTTTTCGATTACCGTTACGAAAATCGAAAAATGAAGTACCAGCTCAAGAACATTACCTTTCAGAAAAGATGCGACACTTGATACTTTTGAGCAAATTTAGAGGGAGAAAAAGTGTTTACGCAGAATAAAAAATAAAAATAAAAATAAATAAACATCATTATAAAACCAATACATTCTTCGCTCCGCTCAGAATCTAAAATATGTTAAACAGTCATTGAGAATATGCGTCTATATATTTTGTGACGCACCAAAATAATTTAAAAAAATTTGTTACACCGCAAATGCATATTCGTTTTGTTTTATTTATAAATATCTAACTCAAGAACAGATTAGGCCAAATGAAATAAACTTCAGTTTTTCCAAGCTATACTAAAAATTGTTTTATTGTTATAATTTGTTATGTGTTCTTGTTTTTACTTGTAGGTTTCAAATTTTTATGACTTTCGGATGTGGTTGACCCTGGAAATAAAATACAATCAACGGTAAAAATTCAAATGGGACAAAATATATCGAACATTTCTTGAGCTATTTTATATTTTTTTAGTGAAACCTATATGACCGTTTCAATCACTCATCGATAACACATACGCCCCTTTTCTTTTAACTCCAAATGCCGCTGAGTGATTATTATTTCAGTTAAAACGTGAAAATAAAACGTTCAGAATAGGTAGGAAACAAGGAACATTATATACTATATAGTATACGTACATTACATTATATTGCATCATATACCTGGTGATTGAATTATAAAATACTTCACAAAAACGTGAAACATTGAAATTTTTTCTAACACATAAATATTAACGATGATTATTTATCAATAACCTAACTAAAGAAAACCATCATCACAAATGAGGAGKTAGTGATTGTTTTCCCTAATATTTTAAAATTTTGAAGGTTAGTTATGAAAATTATACTTATTAAAAATTAAAATAAAAAATATTATATTACTGAAATATTTCATGAAATGTATCACAATTTTAAATTTCATAAAATTTTCAAACACTACATATACCATATCTTATATGTATACGCACGAATACGTCTATTGACCTGCAGGCTGAGATAAGACGGATAATTCAATTTGTCTGTCTTTCAAGTTTAACATTAAATAGTATAATAGATTTAAATATAATAATTATTATCACTATACTTATCAGGATTCTTACCAAGATATTATGTTTAGGAAATCTCGTTAAATTACTATATTTATTGCATTACAAAATAATATTATATTGGTTTTATAGATGATACGTAGTTATTATGTGTCTTATAATCAAAAATATATACAGTATTTTGAAATAGTAATAATCCAATTGTGATATTTCATTTTTATTTTTAGTTGCCAATTAAGGACTAACGTTGCCTTCTCCAAGTGCTTGGAAAATATTATTGTGTCTGCATTCACGCTACTGCACACAATCGGTAAAACTACTGTATAAGAAATTCAGGATTCAAGACATATCGAAGAGTTTCAAAAAAGTAAGTAAATGTATGAAAATCGTTAGTAAATCTTAAATGAATATTATTATTATTATTGTTATTCGCAAACATACACCAATACTATTTTTATAAAAATTACATTGGTATATTAACGAGAGACAATTTAAAAAAGAAATGAGCACACCGTTATGACGTCAATCGTCGTCTTTTTTCTATTTTTACACTAACTAACTGGAAATGTCTAACCGGAAGCATAATATAGGTGTAGAACATATTATAGATTTTCGTGAGGATGTTACCAATGACCAGTCACGGATGAAAGATATTATATTGTTATCATACTCATCCTTGCGTTAATACGTTTTGAAATTTGTTTTTATTTTATTAATAAATCTTATGAGACGTGATGTAAATTTAATACTTAATTAATTGATTAGTAAAAACTAATAAATTAAAATACATTTAATATATATAATTTTTATACATTTAATTAAAATGGTAATTTAATTTCTGTACATATTTCATAAACTACATTTTTATCATTTATTTTATATGGTCTACAACTTTAGGCCAATGCCAAAAAATCCAATCTTAACCAATGCCCCATTAAATATTTCTAATTTTACCATTCATTCTGACTTAAAAATCAAAAGCATTCATGAAGAAGCTAAAACTTACCATAATCGTTTTTCAACAAACTGCATTCTCACCCTAACCCTCTAATGTTTGACCTAGCCACTCATACGATTCCTGGTAATCCACTATGGCGTCTAAAAATAAATTGGTGCAGAGATCTTCTTAACGATTAATAAAAAAAAAAAAAATAACAATTATTAATTTAATATATATATGGAAAGATGTTTGTGTTATA